ATTTAATTAATTTAATAAACTTTTCAAATTATTTTCCGATTACTTTGACAGATATTTTTTTAGACAACTGGCGACTTTCTTGACAAATAAAAAAGATTAAATGAATTTAATATTATGACATCAAATATATTAATTGCTACAACTAATATTTTTATATTTGTAATATTCTACATATATTATATAATAAATATACAGTCGATAAATTACAACAATTAATTCAGAAACAAATTGTTCGATAATTTGTCTGAAAAAATCAACAGCCTAATTATGTCATAAATCGGTTCAATATTAAGCAAATTTTTCATCTGACTATTAGTTTTTTTTATACAGAATCACCCTCTGCTAACCAATATTATCAATTACAAGATACTCTGTATATTTGTGTATATCTGCTATTGTAAATCAGCTGTTCATTTGCTAAATCGATTAACTCCAAAACAAAAAAATATTTAAATAAAATTGACATAGTTACATTATCATATTACTTAAATCTTACAACTGGTCATAAACATTTTGGTCATGTTAATGGTTTTAATTGTTAATTATGAATTATTGATATTCATTTATTTTTTAAATATCAGAATTTAAGCGTTAATCATTTGCCATTAAAATTAAAAACAATGTTAAAACAACATTTAATTCAATTATGCTTATGAACAGTTCACGTAATAATTTTTTTGTCTATTTTAATAAGAATGTTTTATACTAATAAAATTTGTGTTTTTTTCTGTTCTCGGTTAATCGTCGTATTGCAGAATGGGGTAAGTTATTTTCAAAAAGTTGACTATACTTTAAATAATAGTTTCAAATATTTTATGATTGAATACATGTAAGTACATATAAATTTTCCCGATATCTCATATTTCTATGCTAAACTGCAATTAATATATCTGTAATGAAAGTATAATAATTATGCAAGAGACAAATTCGATATGATAATTATGATGAATATGTTTCTTACATTCCTCCTTTAATTGTCTCGTTGCAAACAAATAATCTTCAGATAAAATTCTAACTAGTATGATTTTTAATTTCATACCTATAACATAATACAAATTATAACAAAAATATTACATTACAAAAATATACGAATTCATATTTTGTAAGATAAAGTTATTGAAAATTGACAAAAGAAAATGAATAACAAATTCACGAATAAACCCAATATTACGTTTAAATTCTACAAATTTATTTAAAATTATAAGAAAGACATCTAGCACGTGACGTTAGGGTGAGGCAAGAGTACATCTTTGTCTTAAAAAAGGAAAGAAAAATAAAGGAGAGAGAAAGAGAGAGAAAAAGAGAGATAGAGAGAGAGAGAAGAAACACACAGCCTCCCCAAAAAAAAAGGAAAATAAGAAAGAAAGAATAAGAGAGTTTGTCGACGTTACTGTAAAGAAAGAAGGAAGAAAGGAAGGAAGGAAAGAAGGAAGGAAGGAAAGAGAAGTAAAAGCAAGCGAAGAGCACAGAGGATCCGCAGATAGGATCAGATGTGTGTGGTCCACCGCTTTGCTCTTTATAAGACTTATGTAAGCCAGGATGCGCGAGGGCCAAGAAAGAGAAAGAAGTACTTACGGTGACCATGAGTGTAAAAGAGAAAGAGAAAGAGAAAAAAAGAAAGAACGGTCCATGCTCGTTAGCGGCTCGCGACAAACACCGTAGGGCTGCTGCCGCCGCCATAGGTAGTAGGTAGGTAGGTAGGTAGGTAGGTACACCCCCAGTTAAAAAGATACCATACATGTCTTATTGATGGATCTACAATTTTGTATCTGTAACTAATGATAATATTATGAGCTCGGATTGTCAGGTTTATTGAAAAGAATTGCAACGATACTGGGTTTATTTTTTGTACACAAGAAACAATTGTGTATTTTTAATAAATTATAATAATAAGATTATAGGGCACAGGTTGTGAGTTATTGGAAAGAAGTTGAAACAATGCTAGGTTGGATTTTGTAGAAGAAATACAAATTGTTTTATACCAAGAAACAATTGTATATCTATAATAAATTAAAATAGTAAGATTAAATAACACAGATTCTTAACATTATTGGAAATAATTGCAACAATACTGGGTTATTTTTTGTACACAAGAAACAATTGTGTATTTTTAATAAATTATAATAATAAGATTATAGGGCACAGGTTGTTAGCTTTATTAAAAAGAAGTTGCAACAATGCTAGATTGTATTTTGTAGAARAAACACAAATTGTTTTATACGAAGCAACAATTGTGTATCTGTAATAAATTATAATAGTAGGATTATATGGCACAGGTTGTTAACATTATTGGAAAGAATTGCAACAATACTGGGTTATTTTTTGTACACAAGAAACAATTGTGTATTTTTAATAAATTATAATAATAAGATTATAGGGCACAGGTTGTTAGCTTTATTAAAAAGAAGTTGCAACAATGCTAGATTGTATTTTGTAGAAGAAACACTAATTGTTTTATATAAAGAAACAATTGTGTATCTGTAATAAATTATAATAGTAAGATTATATAGCACAAATTGCTAGCTTTATTAGAAATGAATTGCAGCAATACTGGGTTATTTTTTTTGCACAAGAAACAATTGTGTATCTGTAATAAATTATGATAGTAAGATTATATAGCACAGGTTGCTAGCTTTATTGGAAATAAGTTACAACAATGCTGGGTTGTTATTTTTTTTTATAGAAGAAATACAAATTATTTTATATCAAGAAAGAAATGATAGCACAATCTATACGTTTATAAATAATTCAGACTGTAGGTAAGGGTGAATATACTTCCTACAGAGACCACTTTTATTAGTAAAGAGCAATGAACAAAAATAGAATAATAAAAGGATGAATTGCTTAAAATGGATCAGTCCTTGATGATTAAGTAGAGAAAAAACAATATCTCTTTCTGTCTTTTATACGAATACAGTATTCCCCGTAACAATACTAATCAATTGTATTGGTACAATGCAATAAAGATTCAATTATTATAAAAATGATATCAATCAGATATATATCATTGATACAATTTAATAAAACTTAAATTACCCAAAGAACCGTCTTATAACGCTATACAATTACCCAATAACTCAATTATATTGATACACATCAAAAATAAATTCTATTTCCATTCTATAAAAATTCATAAACTCCAATAACAATACCAATACTTATTCCAATAAATATTCTTACATTACCACAATCATTTATTTTTCTAAAAAAATATTCCTAAGATCAAAGATTATCTTATTAACTTATCTAGATGGTGAAGAAAGAGCACGGAGGTCGCACTCGTCCAATCGAATGCAGAACGATCTCTCGACGAATGGCAAAGCCATTTGTTTTGCACGCGTAAGTTAAACGACCATGCCGACACCCGCACAGCGCACCTCCTCCTCCTCCTGTCCTCTTTTCTTCTTCTTCTTCCTCCCCATTCTCCTCCTCCTCTTTCTCCTCCTTGTTTTTTTTCTTATTCCTTTTCCTCTTCTTCTTCTTCTTCTTCTTCTTCGTCCTCCATTTAACGTCTTTGGGCTCTCGGTCAAGGCACACGCTCGCCTCTCATGTAAATCGGCTAATTCCATCGGCGTACATTAATTATCTCGTTACGTATACACACACACACACACATGTATATGTATATTCAAAAGAACAGGCGCGCCCGCATGTGGGTGTATGTGTATGTATCAAGAGTTTTACCTCGACTTTTCGATCGAACAGAGAGAAAGAGGGGGAGGCTGCATTCTCAGTGCCCAATTATCCGATGGAAGGAGAAATCTTTTTTTACTTTTTTTTACTAAGGCTGCATTAACTCCCCTCTTATTCTTTATTTCTCTTTCTATGTACATATGTATATACATTTATCTATCTATCTCTTTCACTCACATTTCATTTCTTTTTTTTATTTTTTTTTTTTCCTTATTTTTCTTTACTCTCTCTCTCTTCTTTCACGATGTAAAATAATGCTAATGGTACTTGCAAAATAGCATGACCAATTTGTTGATACATTATCGTACCTACCTTCGAGTAACATCGCTATGTAACGTGTTTCTCTCTCAATGATAAGTGAAAGAATATTTTTCTGGTCTTTTATTTATATATTGGTTGTCCTATTGTTTTTTTTACCGTTAAATTTTACGACCATATTTTATAATTACAAATAAGTGATTTATTTTTTATTACTTGTTATGAAACGTTTTAAAAATGGATCGATTTCGTTTCGTTTATTTTTTTTCGATTAAAAAATAAGTCAAGTTGCTTCCGGTTAAATAGGAAATTTAATGATTTTTAGGTTAAGTTATAAAAGTTCTTTCTATACAATACAATTAAATTAAAAACAAAAAATGTACTGTAAAAAATATTCCCTTAAATTTTATATTAGTTTCAGAAATGACATCAATTTTAGTTTTTACTTTTTGCTATTATCTAAAACATATTTCAAATGTTCGAGTTAAATGAGACGATCTATAATTCCTTTCTTTTTTTTTCAACAGAAACCTGATTCGACAATTTTTTATATTTCAATGTAACCAGAAAATATAATTAAAACTATAGGCATCTGTCTATATAAATTAGCGATATAATTTTCCGCGCGAGAATTATTATTATCGTTATTAAAAGCAACATGGCGAAACGCGTCAGCCTTTATCGTCCAATAATCGTCGATCACGAAGTGTCGATGTAGACAAGTCCTCATTATCTCGATCGTTGTATCATCATAAAAGAATTTTCATCGGTGGAACAGAACTGTCATTATCGATGACTCCTTGATTCTTGTCATTGATCGGGCTCAGTATATATAACTTCAACGGTTATCAGAATATTAAATTAACGTGAAAGATTAAATCAACATAGTTCGATAATCTCATCGACTCATCTTCTCTCCTCCATAGTTTCTATATTTACTAAATATAAAATACAATATAATAGACATACAAATTGATTATAAATAAGCATAAAACAAAAACTAACCTCAAAACATAATAATCAATTAATAATATAAGTACAGTTATCAATAAACTATCTAATCAAACAATATATTAAATACAAACTAAATCACTCATTTTAAGAATATATTTGTCTACAATATCTTGCTCTTGATTTGAAGAGATATTATAATTCTGATCCTCTTAAACGTGAAGTTAGCAAAAAGACGTAGAACAGAATTTGAAAATTGCACCGGTCGATTTATGTTGTCGGATCGGGAGATTGGATTCCACCATTCTTCTTCGCTTCTTTTCTTCTTTTCTTTTTCTCTTCTTTTTTTCTTCATCCCTCTTTTTTGTCGAGGGATTAAAGAAGAGGAGAGCCCTGTGCCCAGGGATAAGCCGTAGAAAAGTGTGACTGCCGTTGGAGGTGGCCGCGGCGCGACGTTCTGCTGACAGATTACGCTGTGGTATGGTCTACCGTCTGTTACCAAAGCCGTCGGAAGAGAAAAAGGAACTGTGGCGAACCAAGGATGAGTTCGTTCGGGGCTGGATTAACTACTTACTGCCTCGTATACACGAATACACGGATACCCTGTCACTCACAAATATGCTAAATATACGAAATGTTTCATCTAACCGGAATACTACGAGCTATCTTCCTTGATTTTGATCATACGATTAACACGTTAAAAGAAAATATTGTTATTTTTGTTTTTTCAAAGAGATTATAATAGTTTGATTTATACAGAATTTAGTTATTAATATTATAATCAATTCTTTTTTTTTATACGAAATTTTGTTAAACGATTTTCATTTAATACAAATTAGAAAAGAAATTTTCTCTTGTC